AGATAATTAAGCAGAAAAAAATATATAAAGAGTAGCAATCAATGAAATATAAAACTTACAAACAATAAAGAAAATCAGTGAAATCTTTTGAAAAGATAGAAAAGACACAAATTACCAAAATGAAGAATGAGAGAAGTGATATCATTATATGTATATATTAAGGAGATAATAAGGGAATGTTATGAATAATTTTACACTAATAAGTTCAACAACTTGGAAGAAATGGATAAATTTCCTGAAAGATCAACTACCAGAGATCATTCAAGAATAGACAATTTAATATTCCTATCTCAATTAGAGAAATTGAATTTGTATTTTTGAATCTTCTCACAAAGAAAATTCCAGGCCCATAGAGCCTCACTAATAATACAAACACTTAAGGAGGAAATACCAATTCTATACAAACTTTTTCAGAAGATTATATGAGGTGAGCACCACTCTGATGCTAACATCTGATTATGCGACCATATTTCATTCACTTCTTGGGACAGTAGAGCTTAGTTTCCGCAAACAGTATTTTTAAATTCCAAACAGTCTTCTTATGTCTTTAGGGAGCCTTCTTCTACCTGGAAGCTTCCTATTGACTCCAGAGCAGAGAAAGCTGATGATGATTATAATCTAGTACATAATACTTTAAGGTCAGTGACTCTTAGACCTCAAAAATAGAAGCAGTGTCTCCTTTTTCCCTTGTTCTGGTCTGAGGTCCTCATGTCTTAACAGTAACAAAAGTAGCCAAGGTGATTTTCTGACATATTTATTGTTCCCCCAGCAGCTAAAGTAAAACGTGAGTTAAAATACCATTTTAATATTGTTCAATAGCTTGCCACTCATTGATGAAAACTCATAAAGTATGTGAAGTGAAATGTTTCAAGCTGAGGGCTGAGAGCAAGCCGAAGAAGCCAGGTGCTCGCTGTTGCTGGATGTTGGCCATGGAGTCCTTCCGAGATTAGCTCTAAGTCACAGGATGCGAACACGCCTACATTTCTGGGAGTATGCAGCAAAGCTACCCTCATTACATTTGATGGTCCTGTCTCCTTTCCTTCATCTCTGACATCCTTCCTCTTTTAATTGTGGTGTAAGTGGTCACTTTTGCTAATATTATAACACAAATACAAACTGTTGCTCTCAGAAGATGCAGACAGATTTTTATTATCTTTACCTCTCAAGGACATTTTTACTTTTGGGGTTTTAAAGAAGGCAGAGGAATACTGTAATCAAGGATGCAGTAGCAAATAAAAATTTGAAGGACTCAGAGGAAGAGAGAAGAAGAAGGCAGAGTTGGGGGGTGATGTGGAGAAGTGAGGGAGGAACGGGAAATGAGAGGATGAGGAAGAGAAGAGGGAATCAAAACCAGAGAGAAGACAAAGAATGGAGATATGGACAGTAAAAAGAGGAAGTGAATGACAAACTCTTCTATTTCCCTTTGCCCACCCCCATCAAGAACTGCTAGGAACGGGGATCCCTGGGTGGTGCAGTGGTTTGGCACTTGCCTTTGGCCCAGGGCGCGATCCTGGAGACCCGGGATCGAGTCCCACATCGGGCTCCCGGTGCATGGAGCCTGCTTCTCCCTCTGCCTATGTCTCTGCCTCTCTCTCTCTCTCTCTGTGACTATCATAAATTAAAAAAATTAAAAAAAAAGAACTTCTAGGAAGGAGAGTAGGAAGAGGTTCTCGACTAATAAAAAACTTACAATTAACTTAAAAAGGAAGTCAAGATAGGAACTGGGTGGGATCACGGATTAAATACTTTTACACAGACTTTACCATCTTTTCTGGCCAAAGAGAATACACAAGTGCCAAATATCCATCCTAAAAAAACAAAAAACAAAAAACAAATATTCATCCTATCTCTGGAAAATGAACTATAATGGATGTGTCAATATATCATGTTTCACAATACCAACCAACATTCTTAGAGATAGGAATCTGCGGCATTCCCCAACGGCCACTCTTTCTCAGTCTCCTTTGCTAGAGTCTCCTCATTGATCTAGCATTGAAATACCGCAGTCTGAGGGGGACTTCTGGATTCCTCTCCTTCTTTTTCCCTTGGTCCTCTACTCTTTGCTCTAGCTGAGCCCATAAATCCCTGCTCCTGTAGATGCCACCTAAATGCTTATGGCTCTCAAAAGTACATATCCAGTTGGGAGCTCTTCTGCAAAATCCAAATGTGTACATACCCCTGAAACTAGGTATTTCTACCTGAGTCTCAGGACTCATCAGAATATACACGTCCAAAATTGATTTTGCCCCTTCAGTAGTAGTTTGACTAACCTTCAATTTACAACTGCCGTTTTCCCTTGCCTCCTTTCCTAGGAGACCATCAAAAGTCACAATTCAATTTCCCAACCACTCTGATACCTGGTGGTATTCATGGATCTGTGTAACAGTTCTGGCCAATGATGTATAAATAGATATTTCCTGATGTTGTCTTTTCCTTTCATCCTTCTTCAGGTCTGGAACACAGGCATAAGGCTTGCACATTCCACAATCACTTGGTGATCATGAGATAATATAAATGAGGATGAAAGTTACAGCACTAAGGATGACAGGAAATGGAGAAAGAACATGGATCTCTGAGGGGACTATCAGCCTAGTATGCTACCCCTCAAATGCCTCAATTCAATGTCCGCATTATTTGAAATTAAGGAAGGTGTATATTTGGAAGCCTCCAAAACTGTTTTCTCACTAAGTCTTCCTCATCTCATTGAAATGTTTCATAATTGCCCCTGAAGCTCCAGCCAGAAATAAGGTGGCTCTTCTAGATTTCTGTTTCCCATATCCTCCCAATCTTAACTCTCCCTTACCAAACACACTTACTGAGTCCATCCATAATTTCTGTGGCTGTTTCTCCAGAGACTAGAGCAGCACTTATCTGCTTTCAGTGCCTTAGCTGCACTTCAGCCACCATAGTGTCAATTAAATGCGAAAGATTTTCATATGCTGGTCCCATCCCTGCCCATCTCACATTTGCATGGTTAACTTCTTTCACTCTCAAGTCCCAGGCTAAGTGTGTCCTTAGAGAGGCCTCTTTGGATCATCTTATTAGAATTCTTCCTACTCAAGCCCCTTGCTCTCAAAAACCGAAAGATTTTTTTTTTCTTCAAAGCACCTACTCATTTTTAAAGATTTATTTATTTATTTATTTATTTATTTATTTATTTATTTATTTATAGAGACACAGAGAGAGAGAGAGAGAGAGGCAAAGACACAGGCAGAGGGAGAAGCAGGCTCCGTGCAGGAAGCTGGACGCGGGACTCGATCCCAGGTCTCCAGGATCATGCCCTGGGCCGCAGGCGGCGCTAAACCGCTGCGCCACCGGGGCTGCCCCTCAATCATTTTTATTTGTATATTGGAGTCCGCCTGGGGAAATAGAAACCATACCAGTTTGTTTTAACAGGGAGAATTTAATGTAGAGAATTAGCAAAAAGGACTTGTTTGAGAAGATGAAAAGAGGACACTGAGGTGCCGCAGAGCTAGTACAGGAGATGGCCCCACACCTGGGGCTGGGATCTGGAGCTCTGACTGTCCCATTCAACACTGAGAGCCTCAGAGGAGGCTCTGAGGAGCTGCTTTACAGATTCCAAGGAGAAGGAGTTACCTGGCTGGTACTGCTACCTCCGACTGGGGGCATCCAAGTTGGTTCTGGGAATGAAAGAAACTAGAAACTGCCAACAATTGGTGATGCTGTAGTCAATTCCATGGCAATGGTTACCTGCTGGGACAATAAGGAGAGAGAAAAAGAGCAAGTCCCTTTTGATCCTACTGCCTACCAGTTTTCCACAATGCTCCCTATGAACAGAGAACCTAATATGGATCCACTTGGCAAAGGAAAAACTGTGGTTTGCAGAGCCTCAGCCTGAGAGATTCAGAGCAGCACATTAAAAAAGGCTGAGTTCAGGGGTAAGATATCATCACTTAAGAAGCAGCACAGGATTTATTTATTGCCTTTTCTTTCCTGCTAGACAATATGTGTTCAAGGCCCATGCCTTACTTTTTGCTGTTTTACTCCTGCCATGTACAGTAAAAGGATACAGAAGGTACTCAAAAAATATTTCTTGAATGGATGAATTTATTAGATTTTTCTCAAAACTAGTGAAAAAATGTACAATTTAATTCCTTGTCAATTGAACGATACCAAATGCCTCATACGATGGTCTAAAGAGTGGAGCTAAAATATGAATATGAGGCAATTCCTTACTATTTACTAAGGAATTTAAGACATTCTCATATGAGAGCAAATCATAAAATGCTATAGAAAACATTCATATGTTTAAATGCAGACTATTAAATAGGCAGCAAAATCTACAGGAAATCAGAAAAGGAAAAGGGAAAGATAAGTTTGGAATAATTCAGAAGACTTGGGGAAGAAGTTGCATCTGAGGCAGGCTTGAAAGGTGGCAGACAAGCAAAGCCAAGGATGAGGGATGAGTCTGGCAGGTTTTCAGATGATTCAGATGAAAGCAGAGTAGTGAGAAATTAGTAGAAGTCACTGGGAAAGTAAAATGGAACCAACTGTGGGAAATCGTAAGTTCTGGAGTTAAAATTATAAAGAGTATATCTTTTGTAAAAAGGATCACTAAGAGGTGTTAAGCAAAGGGCTGTTGTGGCATTTGGGAGTATTTTCTGAAGACAAATTTGGCAGCATCATGGGAACTGACTGAATGTGTAGAAACTAGAGCCAGAAAGACTAGTTAGAAGACTGACAAAGATCTTGAGCCAGAAGGAGATGATAGAGCTAGAAATAAGAGGAAAAAAATAATGGAACATTTAGAAGGAAGAATCAATGTAACATAAAACAGAGTTAATCTAGGGAAAGGTGAGCAAAGAGGATATCTGGAATTAACCCACAGTGATACACAGAGAGAAGGTTCAGGAAGGTGGAGACAGATGAAAGATCACTGAGTTTCATCTGAAGGACATGATTAACAATGACATTAGTACAATGGAAGTCCCAGTGAATGTTTATCCTCTAATAACTAAACCCAGTATTTTCAAAAGTTGTTATGAATCTGGAAGAATATATATGTCTTCATCTTGAGGGACTTCGGGAGTACTAGGCTTCTGGAAGTTACAATATTGAAACAGCATCTCATTTCCATAGATGTGCTCCTCGAAACTGGTCGGCCGAGTGTTCTCATATAGTTCGTTATCGGTTTCTTCCTTAGCTTTGGGAGCACCACTTTCCACATTCTCATAGTTGTCATGTGAGTTAGTCCCTCTCCCAGAAGATTTGTAGTCTTGGGTCTGAACTGAGATTTTATGTCTTGAGCTGACAGCAAGGGGACTTGAGAGTGTTTTAGTATAGCTTTTTTTCCTGCTGCTCCTCCTTTGCAAGAACCTTGGTAAGGTAAATTGTACCAGGTCACGGTGCTTCCAGCGCCAAATACACCCAATTCCACAGATCAACAACAGGAAAAGAAGGGAAATTCCTATAGAAGTGGCCACTGATGTGTTTCCACAGCTTTTCAACATTTCTACACAGGCAGTGTTGTTCAGCCGTATGGCAGAGCCCTCAATGAATTCACAGGCGCAGACCAATGTAATTCCTTGCAGGGTATAGTTTAAAAGTAATCTTGGAAGCTCTTTTAGGCATTTATTTTTCAGAGGTAAAAGAACATTATCTGGCAAAGTCCTGATACAATTAGAGGAGAGACTGAGTACACTTAGCCTTGGAAGATCCTTCTCATTGTATGTGATCTTTTCCACATTACAACCGTTAATGGATAATTGCACCGTGTCAGGGGGACTTTAATTGATTCAACTCCACTTTCTTTCAGTGAATCACACAATGAAGCAGAAATGAGTGGAAGATAATGGCAGAGCAGACAACTCAAGAAAGAGATGGTTGAACGATCTGCCATCCAGATGGTTCCTATAAATTAAAAAAATATATTAATTGTATATTTATTACACAATATAATAGGGAAATCTGCCAATACATACCAATTTATTAAGCACCGGCATTTGGTGAGTTTCTGCCTCAAAACAGAATACAGTACTAGCTGTTGTGAGGAGAGAAAAAGAGAAGAACTTCTATCTGCTCAAGCCTGAGTGGTCTTATCAATTAGATTTCAACATGGCTTTTGACAATAAGGCCAAGCATTTTCAAGTGAGGGACAATGCTCTGAATGCAACAGGAGGAAGGGGCAAGGGTATACCTGTGCAGTGATTTTCATTACTTAATGCCTCCTCTGTGAGGCCTTTTCCTTAATCACTCCTTCACCTGTATGGCCTATGAATGAGTCCATTCTCTATTACAGTATGACAGCCTACATGACAAGGAATTGTGTGTCTTCCTACCTGGTTAAATGGTGGGCAGGGATCAGGTCTTTTCATCTTTATATTCCTAGATAATAGGATAGTACCTAGAGCAGAAAAGAAATTCAGTTGATATTTATTAAATAAGTGAGTCAAGAAACAAATGACTCCAAGTCTCAGCATCTAATTGCTTAAGTCTTTTAAAACTTAATACATGTCTTCTAAAGGGTATAGATTTTTTTGTTTTAAGATTTTGTTTATTTATTTGAGAGAGAGAGAGTGGGGAGAGGGAGAGAGCAAGAGACACCACAAGCAGGGGTGAGGGGCAGAGGGAGAGGGAGAAGCAGACTCTCTGCTGAGTAGGGATTCCCAACATGCGGCTCGATCCCAGGACCCCAGGATCATGACCTGAGCCGAATGCAGACACTTAACCAACTGAGAGCCACCTAGGTGCCCTAAAGGGCACAGTTGATATTTAAAAGAAGAAAGACTTCTTTGACTTACAAAAAAAATATATCTAAAACAAACTTTGAAAGGCTTTCGATCACTAGTGTTCTCACAACTTCTAGAAAACAACTTTTCAGTTAAGATAATTTCAGAATGTTTTCTGCCAAAACTTTAAAATGGCAAAGAGGAGATAAATGAAAAGTATTCAATCAGACTGAGCGTTGTACTATGATTTTATCAACAAAACATTATTACTGTATGTTTTCAGCCTAGACACAGAAATAGTTACAACTAATACGATTTTAACTGTTGCTGTTTGTAGTTTTATTGAGATACATAACTGATATACAACATTGTATAGGTTCAAGGTACACAGCCTGATGATTTGATATATGAATACATATTGTGAAATGATCCCCACACTAAATTTAGTTGATGACCATCACCTCACATAGTTACAGATTCTTTCATCTCATAATAATAAGATCTACTCTCTTAGCAACTTTCAAATTTACAATACAATGTTAACTATAGTCATCCAATATTGTTAACAGTACTTGTGGGATGACTATCATCTATTGAATGTCACTGTTGATAATATTTAGTTAAAAGCTTATTTTGGATCAACTTCTAAACACTTTTACATAGATTTTCTCATTTGATCCTACAGATGCCATATGTTATGCCCATTTTACAGAAGAGTAAGGAGAATATTAAAGAATTTAATTTCCTGAATAACTAACAAGTGACTGAATCAGGATTCAAGTAAACTTTGCCCCCAAATACTATTCTTACCCAAATTTCTATAAATGACTATAGAGAACATCTATTGCTAAATTTTCATAGCTCATTTTGCTCTGAGGTTCTTGAGAGCTGGAGTTCTTATTTATCTTTATATTACCAAAGACACAGAAGAGCTACTTTCTTAAATATTTGTTAGTGAATGGAGCAAACAGCATTAGGATAACAGTAGTAACAATAAACAGGGAAAAAGTAACCCCAGTAAGGTGAGCCCTGCATTTGGTGAGTTTTCACACAAGATAGTAAATTTGTTCAAGGTTGGAATACATCAATGTGAAAAATTTCAGTTTGGCATTTCACACAAAATACCAAATTACATATAAAATTGAGTTAACTTTTACAAAATGTATTCGATAAATCTATATGGACAGATATCCCAGATCTAGAAACCTTTTAAATTCTTTGGAACCTCTTAGGTTCCTTCCTTTATAAAGACCAGACATAATGCTGTGTCCAAAGGCAAGTATTTGGCAAATAACTTTAACCATTAGTACCTCATTTCCTTTCTAAAACAGGTAAGAACTGATTTTATGTAAGACTTTTTTATGGTATAAGTGATTACTCATTTAGGCAAAAATTTGGTAGCATATTTGAACTGAATTTCAAATATAGATTACACTTAGTCACCTTTTTAAAAAGCTAAGCTTGCAACAAAAGTGGGGGAGGTGGACTATTGCTAAGGATTAGATAATAAATTGCCCCCTCAATTTCCAAGACGAGAATTTATTGCTATCATCTATGTTGTTCTATGTAGATATTCCAAAACATGCCAAATATTAAAACTGTCTGTTGGGGATCCCTGGGTGGCTCAGCATTTTGGTGCCTGCCTTTGGCCCAGGGCATGATCCTGGAGTCCCAGGATCAAGTCCCGCATCAGGCTCCCCGCATGGAGCCTGCTTCTCCCTCTGCCTGTGTCTCTGCCTCTCTCTCTCTCTCTCTCTCTCTCTCTCTCTCTCTCTCTCTCTCTCTGTCTCTCATGAATAAATAAATAAAATCTTTTAAAAAAAACTGTCAAAGAAATACTTACTGAGATAAACACAAGAAGACTTTTTAGAGAAGAAGAAATGTATCCTTTTTCTTCTCTCCAAAACAACTTAATAGGAAAAACTCTGAGAGGTAAAATGGAAAGACTTACTGGAAAGAAGACTATATGTTAAAAGAGAGCCTTTCAAAGCCAGCTTAACTTCAAATAAGTCTCATTTTGCCCAATCTGCAAGAAGGCTGTTCCTGTTTTGGAAAACAGTTCCAACAGGCTACCTAACAATTCTCATTTGTCTTAAAATCACAAATGGTTGATAGACGTCTGTAATCTTCAAAGGCAGAATATTGCTCTTCTGTTTGGAAACAAGACAGTAGTAGCAAAGGCTAATCTTATACAAATAAGCATACATACTGGTAAGGATAGGTTAACATCACCCTTAGTTTGTAAACTGATTTTTCCTCCTATTGCTACCTATGGCCACCGAAAACTTTTGTCTGGTAACATAAAAAAGGTCAAGGTCATTATTTAAAATGGACTTGTTCCCTACAGTTTTTCATTAGACACACACCTTAAATCAGCTTCTCACTTACCTTGAGACAGTTAAGCCAAACTCTTTTCTATCCTTCTGCTTAAACCTGCTTTAGTGTTCCTCTTTTTCACTTTGGTCAGCTACTTCCTTCTTTACCCCCTCCTTTTAGATTATTTCATACTTGCAAGGTTTCCTGGTTCTAGAGGAAGTTCTTATCAGAGGTACCAGAATTAAGATAAATGGCATTAGTTTTTGAAAAACAAGTCCAGCCCTTCATCCTTATCATTAATTCTCCAACTATATCAGAAAATAATGCGTGGAGCCCAGATGTTTTTTTTATTTGTGCGATATTTGCAGTCCTCACTTGAGAATCAATAACAGTCATTTCACTTGCATTTAAAACTTTTTAAAAAGAAAATTTTGGGGCAGCCCGGGTGGCTCGGCAGTTTAGCGCCGCCTTCAGTCCAGGGCTGAAGATCCTGGAGACCTGGGATCGAGTCCCACATCGGGCTCCTTGCATGGAGCCTGCTTCTCCCTCTGCCTGTGTCTCTGCCTCTCTCTCTCTCTCTGTGTCTCTCATGAATAAATAAATAAAATCTTTAAAAATTTTTTTTTGAAATGTAGTTACATGGAGGTCTTGTTTATCTGTTTATTTGTAGGATTGCCAAAACGGCTCTCAATTCAAATACTATGTCCCAGTGCCACCAGTTATGTTTCCACTCGTCAAACCAGTGTCTGATTTTGGCTCCAAAAATGTTAATATTCCTTTAAGTTGAGAAGATAGGAATTTCTCAAAGTATATATTCAACTTGAGTTGTGAGATTTCTGTGATCTTCTAGTAGGGAGAAAGAAAAACCGTTTTATTTTGTTTAATAACAGAAGCCAGCATATTCTGGGCACTCAATGTGTCTTCTAAATACTTCGTGGATTGCTCAGTAACTCCCGACATTCACCCATGGGAGAGAGCTGCGAATCATCCTATGTTTCCCAGGAGGAAATGGAAGCAGAGGGATAACCTAATTCCCCGCCCAGTGTGGTCTGGCAGTGTGCCTCCAGCACCTATGTATTAAACCAGAGTACTTGCTAGCTTGGGTGAATAACATGTTTCCAACATAGAACTTTTGTTTAAGAGCATTTTTCAGATACTAACTCTATGGAGCAAAAAGAAAAAGGTTGAATTAAAAAGAGGAGATCATAAAGCCATGGGCAGTTTGCCTTTTAAATTGTTTTGGGACTTTTTCAAACCCAGAGGATTTCCTTTGAACCAGGTGATTTATTTTATTTTATTTTTTAAGATTTTATTTATTTATTTATGAGAGACACAGAGAGAAAGGCAAAGACAGAAGCAGAGGGAGAAGCAGATTCCCCACTAGGAGCCTGATGCAAGATTCAATCCCAGGACCCTGGGATCATGCCCTGAGCCAAAGGCAGATGCTCAACCACTGAGCCACCCAG